ATAGACACACACACACACACACACACACACACACACACGAATAAATATTCGAAAAGTCATTACGTTCAAAATAAATTTTTCTAAATTGTTAGAAAATACAAATGTATTTTAGTTTGGGTGCTGGGACTTGTAATCCCTTATGTGTGTTACCGACACACTCTACCACTGAGCTACACCCTCAACTCCACAGATAGTTGTGGGTTGGATTTTGTTTGGCTTGGTTTGGTTTGGTTTTTTTTCAAGAGAAGGTCTTACTACATAGGGTGGCTTAGAACTCACTATGTAGTCAGTCCTTAAACTCTGGAGTCTCCCAACTCTGTCTTCCAAGCACTGGGATGACAGGCTTGTGCCACCACACCCAGCCACCCTCAGCATTGCTTACCATTGCTTTGTTTTGTGTTCGCTGAGCTCTCTTCACTTCTTTGATCTCATGTATATTCTTTGATGTAGGCCCGATCCTTTAAGAGATGTAGCTGTTGGGGCTGGAGAGCAGGCTTAGTGATTAAGAGCACTAGCTGTTCATGCAGAGGACCCGTGTTTGGTTCCCAGCACCTACATGGTAGCTAACAACCACCCTTAACTCCAATCCATTGCCCTCCTGCTTTTTTTGTTTTGTTTTGTTTTTTTGAGACAGGGTCTCCCTGTAGCCACAGGGGACCTAGAACTTGCTATGTAAACCAAGCTGACCTTGAACTCACAGAGATCTGCCTCCCAAGTGCTGGGATTAAAGGTATGTGCCACCACACCCAACAGCATTGCCCTACTTTTCAATATACCTGAATTTAGAGCATTCCAACAGACATCCTCTTATCTAAAGGACACTGTACTTTTTTTTTTTTTTTTTTTTGTCTGTTGGAGACAGGGTCTCCCTGTAGTCCCAGCTGACCTGAACTCACTATGTAGACCAGGCTGGCCTTGAACTCACAAAGATCCACCTGCCTTTGCCTCCCAAGTGCTGGGACTAAAGGCGTGCACCACCTCACCCAGCCTAAAGGACACTGTACTCTTATACAAAATATGTATAGTAAAAGAGAGCCAGGCATGGTGGTATATACCTGTAAGCATTTGACAATTGGAGGCAGGAGGATCAGGAGTTCAGAGTCATCCTTAACTACATAATGAGTTGGAGGCCAGGCTAGTCTACATGAGACTCTATTTCAGAAAATAAACAAATACATTCATACATATACATACATACATACAAACAAACAAATATGTTTAAGACCCAAAAAGCAAAGCCCTCCTTGGTTTATATTCCTTGATTAAAGGAGGTTTCATTCATTCTAGCACTTCCAGTTTTTCTGTTAGGTGCCTGGGAGAGTTTTGTTCTCCCAGACAGTGTCCTACAGTCTCTCCATAGCCATAAAGGAGAGGTACCTTCATAGATGCTTCATAAGGCAAATTAGTTTTAATTTAGACTAAATGAATGACAGTCATTGTGAATAACCTTGAAACTACTCACACTTTCCGTGGCCCGTGAAAGCCATTCTGAGTAGCCCTGGGTAGGCATCCACCCAGCTTCAAGAATGCTGGTGTGCACTATGAACATCTTCTCCATCCCTTCCTGCTCCTTCAGTCCCAGACTAGTCTACTCAGAGGTCTACAACAAATCCCTAATTTATGAAAACAATTACGTCTGCACAGACCTTGTCTGAATGGTATGTAGATATATCTGAAAATGTAAGTGCTAACCCTGGCCAAGAGGAAAGGGAAAAATGAGGGTGGTAAGGGGAAAGGATAGCAAGCAGGAAACTGATTGAAACAAAAGCTCTGAGCTTCTGGCACAAGCACCATCTGCACAGCCCTGGAATTGTGCCACCTCTGTGCCCTTCGTTTTCCTGTTTCGCTTCTGTTTTGGCTTCCACCTGTCAGTGCCGTCCCCTCTCCTCTACCTGAATGGCTTCAGGGAACAATGAGTCTGTGAAGTGAGACTGAAACTGCTCTTCTTTAACACCCACATACTTAGTTTATACGCTTGTTAGTACTTGGGTAACCATGGTGAGCTTGCTTCCTTCCTGTCTCTCTTGTATTGCCTTAACAGTAGATGTGTTCATTTCGTGTGAACTATAGTTACCTCTGGTACACATTTTCTCCATAAATGCTGCCTTGGATTTGGAACACCCTGTTGAGGTTTGCAAGTACTCCTCAATATACTCTCATGCCCTCTAGTCTGCTTCATGGTCACTGTCTGTCATTAGCCTATGTGAGCTAAGGTTTTTCTTTCTCTTCTCCTACTTTACCCAGGAATCAAAAAGATCAGAATCCCTTATGGACATTCATCATAAAAAATTAAAGACTAAAACTGCTGAAGATAAAAATAAGCCCCAAGAGAGAACACCGTTTGATCGTGATAAGGATCTCAAGGTTAATCGGCTTGACGAAGCACAGAAAAAAGCCTTAATAAGGAAATCTAGAGAATTAAACTCCCGATTTTCACATGGCAAAGGCAATATCTTTTTATAAGTAAGTATATTTCAGTGAGATACATCGATACTGATCAGTCTGAACCCTTCTGAATACTCCATTGTCTATAAATAATTATGTGCACAAATATATTTCCTTTTGTAATAAAGTCAATTAAAATCTACATTTTTTATAAATAAATAAATTGTAATTGTTGAAAAGTCAGTCTTAGGAGACAAAACATGACTTACTGGAAAAATAGCTCTGTCTTCATAATAATCTAACAGGGTATTGCTGTTAGAAATGCTAAAAGTTCCTTTGACAAGAAATGGCATTTCAAATACAGCCAGGCATGGTGGCACATACCTGTGATCCCACCATTAGGCCAGGAAAGGAAAGCGAATCTCTGAGCATTCACAGCCATCCTAAAGTGAAGAAGGGAAGTTCATTGCTTCGCTGCAGGCTCTTCTTGACCAACATCGCTGTCTGAAAGGACTTGTTGCTTAGAGGCCCTCTCTAAGCTGAGTTGGAACTAGTGCACAGTTTGTCCACAGTTCATCTGATGAGAGTTTGTAGTAGTGATTAAGGAATTACGTAAGAACCGAAGTTGCTTCTTAAGTTCCTCATGATTTGTAACAGTATGAAACCTACATCAGTATTCAGATGTGGTTTTAAAGAAAAATAGGAACTTAGAAATGTTTTCTAACTTACTGAATTCTTTTATTCTTACCTCAGAGGGATTTCCCTGTATGATGAAGAAAAGAATACACTTTGTACACCATTATACCTTTGTTAGAGAATGATCTTTAAAACCATGTGAATTGCGGGGCGGGGCGGGGGGGCTGGTGAGATGAATCAGCAGCTACAAGCACTGGCTGCTCTTGCAGAGGACCTGGGTTAGGTTCCCAGCACCTACGTGATGGTTACAACCATCCTTAGCTCCAGTTCCAGGGGCTCCAACTCCCTCTTCTGGCCTCCGTGGGCTCTCTATGATACAGTTGCACTTATATACATGCAGGCAGAACACTCATACACATAAAAAAAAAAAAATTAAGTTTTTTTTTTTTTAAACATGCAAATTTGGCTGGGCATGGTGGCACATGCCTTTAATCCCAGCACTTGAGAGGTAGAGGCAGGCAAATCTCTGTGAGTTCAAGGCCAGCCTGGTCTATATAGTGAGTTCCAGGCCAGTTGGGGCTACAGGAAGACCTTGTCTCAAAAAGATCCAAAAAAAAAAAAAAAAGAGGAAAGCTGCCTGGGTTATCTCGTGCTAAGGAAAAATCTATGTGTTTTTTCCAGCTCTCATAATAAGAATTCATGAGGGAGGCAGTCCGAGGGGGATCCCATTTGCTGTCACTGTATGCAGTCCATAGGACTCTGCTTCATGGTCCCACCAGAGCTGCATGAAGTCTTGGAACTTCATGTGGGATAATCCGACCCATGTATATATTTAACAGTTTATAGCTGGTTTATTGTAATATCTTTTTTTTGATATTTATTATTTTTATTTTATGTGTATGAGTGTATTGCCTGCATGTATGTGAGTACACCCGTGTCATGCAATGCTGCGGAGGTCAGAAGAGGGCTTCGGATTCCCCTGGAAGTTAAGGATGGTTTGAAGCTGCCATGTGGGTTCTGGGAATCAAACCTGGGTCCTCTGCAAGAGCAGTCCATGCTCTTAACCGCTGAGCCATCTCTCCAGCCCTGTAATATCTTTTACATCAATTATAGACAGCTTTTTTAAAAAAGAAAATCAGTTACTGAAAAATTGAAAGTCTGTCATCATACCCTCACTAATGGGAGCATTATCAGTTTAATGCTTTAAGCACAACCTCTTACAATGTTAAACAGAAACTAAATAGAGAATAAAAGCTGTGTAAATTCTACATAAGTTCTTACAGATTTTTTTTTGTTCTACTAGTTTTTTTTGTTGTTGTTCTGACGAAGCATAAGGTTTTAGTGGGAAAATTCTGATTCTTTCCCTATGTAAGCTTTATAAAATTCAGGTAAACTTGAAATTATAGTATGACGTAGTCTCTTAATAGTGCCATAATTTTTATAATATCAGTGTAAGCATCCTGGTAAAGGAGTATTGCTTTAAAAATATGTATTGCTCTATCTTCATCCTTATGAAAAGACCTAATGTATTTTGTAAAATTTGCTACTTTTTAAAGTAAAAGCATCAAAAAATTTTGTAAAAGGGAAAGGGCCCTGGAGAAATGACTCAGTGGTTAAGAGCACTTGCTACTCTTGCAGAGGACCTGGGTTCAGTTCCCAACACCCACATATGGCAGCTCACAGTTTTCTGTAATTCCAGCTCCCCAGCCATATGTAACTCCAGTTCCAAGGGATCCAACACCCTTTTCTGGCCTCCATGGTTACCTGTACTCACACAATTTTAAAAATAAAAAGAGCTAAATCTTTACAGTAAAAATACCATCTTTAGTCAAACTTTTGCTTTGCTTTCTCATTGGAAGAGGGTAGGAATGTTTGTTCTGTGTTGACTGTTCCCTGTGACCAAAATAAGGACAGATTTGTAGCAGGCACTTGCCTCACTGATACACTGGGACTGATGCTCTTTTCTGCCACTTGGAGGCAGTTTTAACAAAATACAAAGCCACTTCCAGGAGTTTTTAGCCTCATGGAGACACTAATGTCAATATAGTGTTGACAGTTAAAACAGTACAGTAGCTCTGTGCACAGAACAGAAAGGTGTCCTTCGATTCAACCCTTCCCATCTTCCAAAGCCACAAACGGCCTGCTTGAGTTCAGTCTCCCATCTGTAGGTTGACATTTTCTAGTAAGAACTTCCTACATTTCTTAGCCAAGTTTTATAGGACTGTGGTACCTTTTTCAGTGCAAAAATGAAGAAGAAAATTGCACACCAAATTCACACAGTAGAGCAGGTGCTTTCCTGTTCTTTGAACCATCCAGTTCCCTGATTGATCTTGTCCAGCTCTCTGCCTTCTCATCTTGGGTAGATTCAGCTGCTCCAAACAGTAACCACATTCCTGACAAGCAGATGGTGGAGTCATTAGGGTTAAAGCGGGAAAAGGAGAAAGGGAGCAAAAGATGAGAAATGTTGGCCAGACCCGTAAGACTTTTTCAGATTTGGCAAAACACAAAAAGATTAAGCCCTGCTCGCTGGGAGGGAGAGCATAGTCTTACCAGGAGATTTTTGTTTTGTTTAGAAGTAGCAACACATTTAACATCTTAATAGTTATTCTTTAATAAGATATTTTAGAAATATGATTGAGATTTGCCTGGTACTGAGGCTCCCATGTTTCAGCATTATGTAAGTTATTTGTTCCTGAAACATTATTTTACTTTTTGTTTCTTACGTTGACTGTGGATATGGTTCAGTGGTAGAGTCTATGCTTAGCATGTGCAAAGCTCCCCAGCACCCACCAGTCCTCAAAGTTGTTTAACTGTGACAGTGACACATACAAATTAAAAGGCTGTTGACTGCCTCTCTTCATCATTTCATTTTGAGTATTATAGTTAAAAGACTTCAGAAAAGAATTCCTGAAGTATAAGTTTTTAATGTCTGAATAAAGTCTCATCTGTGTCTGAGAAGTTGTGGTCTTTCTTTTGTTGCTGTTTTAAGTCTTAGCTTTCCTGAAGCAAGCAATATTGGTGATGAAACTTCTGTGACGATTTCTCCTGGCTGACCAGATCACCGTGGGCTATTATGACAGAAAAAAAATTAGCGTGGGGGTGTACCAGTTGGCTCAGGCCTGTTATCCCAGCTATTCAGGAGACTGAGGCAGGAGGCTTACAAATTCAAGGCTTTAGTGGACTATGAAGTGAGTTTAACAGCCTGGGCCCGTTTCAAAATGAAAAATGAAAAGGGGTCTAAGGATGTAGCTGAGTGGTAGAGCAGTTGCCTAGCATGTGCAAAACAAAACAAAGACAGACAAATTCCCTCTGACCCCAATGCCCTTGCCAGGTTGTCATTATTTCACTGTCATGACTATTTAGTTAGGAAAGCTGACAAATTGAGTGCCTGCACAAGAGAGGCTGTAACCAGGATCACATTGTTCTTCAGATCAAGGGCACATGACACAGGGGGTCTTTTTGTTTATTTGTTTGGGGTTTTTCTGGACTGCTTGCAAGTAGTTTTGTTTTGTCTCTAAGCATTAGATGAAGGGATCTGAACACACTCAGAGAGCGCCTTTAGCGTCTCAGATCATTTCCACATATTAAGTGTTGCTTTAGGGACTGCTGCATTTGTTGATTCATTCAGTAAACATGTACTAGACACCCCAGTGTGAGGTGTGTGCCAGGAACTCAATAGTGAGGCAGGCAGGCTCAGCTCTTGTGAGATTCTGTGTGGTCACACAGTAATCACAGGCAAGTAAAACATATTCCCTGCTCTGTGGTTTTAGATCCTAGGGTAGAGCAGAACAAGATCTGAGTAGAAAACATCACATAAGTTCATGCTGTGATGGGTATTAGGCAAAAAGCAAGGTAGAGTCTCAGGACAGGCTGTTAAGAATGGAAATCCTGCGGCTGGAGAGCTGGCTCAGTGGTTAAGAGCACTGACTGCTCTTGCAGAAGACCCAGGTTCAATTCCTAGCACCCACATGGTGGCTCCAAACCGTCCTTAACTCCAGTTCCAGGGAAATCCGAAGCCCTCTTCTCATCTCTGCGGAATTGCACAACACAGGTACACTCACATACATGCAGGCAATACACTCATACACATAAAATAAAAATAATTAAAAGTAAAAAAAAGCTGGTCATGGTGGCGCATGCCTTTAATCCCAGCACTCAGGAGGCAGAGGCAGATGGATCTCTGTGAGTTCAAGGCCAGTCTGGTCTACATAGTGAGTTCCAGGACAGCTGGGGCTACAGGGAGACCCTGTCTCAAAAAGACCAATAAATAAATAAAGTAAAGAAGAATGGAAATCCTGTTTGGATAGGGCGATAAGAAAAGGCTCTGAAGATGTGGCGCTTATACTGAAACCTAGAACATGGGACAAGCTAGCAGTGTGGAGTCCCTGAAACATTATTCTGGAGTGCCTGAAGGGGGCCAGTGTTGGTGGTACATAGTAAGAAAGGTGGTGGCTGGGGGCCAGCCTTGTTACTGATGCTATAAAACCCACATAAAGCAGGGACCCAACCTGGAAGGTGGATAGATGCTTCCCAGTGGAGAATATTATTTAACCAAGATAGAAACATCATATAAGAGTTGGTTAGATGCTTCTGATACTGAAGGTGTGCCCTACTGGCCTTCCCACAACTTCACATACATATCTAAAGTCATACCATAACACTGTAGTTCTGGAACTTTCTGCATATAATTCAACTAGCAGCTGTCTTCAGTGGAATATTGACATGTTGAATTGAACATAGAGCCTAAATTTTATAAGTAAAATAAATTAATGACTTCAAAAGTTATTGCAAATTATTCATTTTCTTCTAGTCCTAATTATTAAGATCTATATACATTCTTTTGGTTTTTTTTGTTTTTGTTTTTGTTTTTGGTCTTTTTGAGACAGGGTCTCCCTGTAGCCCCAGCTGTCCTGGAACTCACTATGTAGACCAGGCTGGCCTTGAACTCACAGAGATCCGCCTCCCTCTGCCTCCGGAGTGCTGGGATTAAAGGTGTGCACCACCACACCAGGCTTAAGAGCTATATACATTCTTTTAAAGAATGAAATAGGGAGCTGGAGAGATGGCTCAGTGGTTAAGAGCACTGACTGCTCTTGCAGAGGACCCGGGTTCGATTCCCAGCACCCTTCTTCTGACCTCCGCAGCATTGCACAACGTGAGTAC